TTCAGCCATTTAGTTCCGGTTCTTCAGTTCTCCAAGCGACTCGTTGAGCTGCATCCACATTTTCATGTCACATGCATCGTTCCCTCACTCGGGTCTATCCCAAGTGCCTCAAAAGCCATCCTCAAAACCCTTCCACCAAACATCAACCACGTTTTTGTTCCACCGGTGAACCTCAAAGACCTACCACAAGAGACTCCCGTAATTCTCCAAATTCATCTAACCATGACTCGCTCCATGCCATCTATACACAAGGCCTTGAAATCCTTAACTTTAGAGACCACCCTTGTGGCCATGGTGGTTGATCTTTTGGCCTTTGAAGCACTAGATTTTGCTCAAGAGTACAACATGTTGTCCTACGTTTACTTCCCTTCCTCAGCTACCACACTCTCCACGCACTTGTATTTGCCCAAGTTGGACGAGGAAACATCATGCGAGTATAGGAATCTCATAGATCCTATTGAAGTACCTGGTTGTGTACCATTCCATGGTCGTGATCTCTATACCGTAGCTCAAGATCGGACTGACCCAGTTTACAAAATCTTGCTCCAACGTGTTAAACGAATCCGTTATGTTGATGGGATCTTTGTTAATAGCTTCTTGGAAATGGAAAATGGTCCCATCGAAGCATTGAAAGACGAGGAAAGGGGGTACCCTTGTGTGTATCCCGTTGGACCAATTGTTCAAAGTGGTGATGATGCAAAAGGGTTGGATTTGGAGTGTCTAAAATGGTTGGACAAACAGCAAGTTGGTTCGGTTTTGTATGTTTCTTTTGGTAGTGGTGGAACATTGTCAAAGGAACAAATGAATGAGTTGGCTTGTGGTTTGGAGTTGAGTAATCATAAGTTCTTATGGGTTGTGAGAGCACCAAATGATACAGTCGATGTTGCTTATCTTGGTGCACAAAATGATGTGGATCCGTTGCAATTTTTACCATGTGGGTTTTTGAATAGAACCAAAGAGCAAGGTTTGGTTATTCCTTTATGGGCACCTCAGGTTCAAGTCCTTGGTCACAGATCAGTTGGTGGGTTCTTGACTCACTGTGGTTGGAATTCGACCCTTGAGAGTGTGCTGAATGGTGTGCCACTCATCACATGGCCACTGTTTGCGGAGCAGAGAATGAATGCGATTGTGCTGAGTGAGAGTCTCAAAGTGGGAGTCAGACCAAAAGTTAATGAAAAGGGGTTGGTGGAAAGGGAAGAAATTGTTGAAGTGATCAAGTGTTTAATGGAAGGGGAACAAGGTAGGGAAATGAGAAAAAGAATGAAGGAATTGAAAGAAGCTGCTATTAATGCTATCAAGGAAGATGGATCTTCAACAAAGAATCTTTCTCAGGTAGCACTTAAGTGGAAAAGTTTGGTATAGGAAAATAAGTTTAGAATGCTCTGGTTTATGTGTTTCTGCTTCGTAATAACACGCATTATTTATGTGGTTTCCTGGCACTAGTAAACATTTATGAGTTTCTGATATAGAGTGAGATCATGATGATGATTTGCGGTATTAAGATCATAGTATAGCCACAAATTATTATATAATTCAAAATTATCGATAATCAAACGATCATGTTGCTATGATTTTGGATACTTTTTAGTTGCTTTTGTAAAGTAATGAAATGAATTGTCATATTGTGAAGAATTCATTTTGTTCTTTTTTGTTTTGAATTTTATCTCATTTTTAATGTAACTTAGTTTTTTTAGTATCTATTTTTTTAAAATAAATAAGAAAAAGGAAGAGAAAGAAAAATATATAAAAATATAATTAAAAGGAAGAAAAAAAAAGAATAAAAATCTATCTATTATCTATATCTATATATAAAAAGGATTCTCCATTTTCATGTACATATTTTTTTTTTGTTGACATTTTTATTCTTAATATTTGTTATTTGTTATTTTTTAGTTAGAGAATAAAATTAAAAAAATTTACAGAAGCTTACAACAAAATAATCGTAAATAATAGTAAAATTGTGTTTGACAGTTTTTTTCTATAAAAGTAATAACTTTTTAAATTTTTTCACTTTTGTTTTTCTTTTATATTTATTTTTTAAAATATAGAGACACAATCCCTCTATACATATAAAGCAAACCTCCATTTGCAGGAAAAAAGGACATGTGGCACTACCTCAAGTAAAATTAAACTAACACCTGCTTATTGACCATTGACCCCATTTAACAGTGCAACAAATTTGAAATCTAAATAGGACAACGAAGTAGTTGCCTTCAGTTCAGGTGTGCACTAATTTTACATTTACGATACATGTAAATATGAGTTTCAATGTTAAGCATGGTGGAGAATATAATTAAAATTAATATTATTCAGCTTCCAAAACATTTTTTTTTCTTCATTTATTAAACTAATAGATCAGTATAAACTGGTTGTCATTAGCACTAGCACTACAATAACCCATCTAATATGAAGCTGCCATCCTTAATTTCTTTATCCTTTTCATATAATGGATGTTACATATAATCTCATATAGAAGTAGCTTCATATAATTTAAGAGGGGTGAATTAAGTTTTCCAAATTTTCTTTTTATATGAGTTTTTAGAAATACTTTCTCATAAATTCAATTTCCTAGATAAATTGTATGTAAAGATTAATGATGCAAAACTACTCAAACACAATTAAATAACAAGTAATTAAAAGTGTAGAGAAAGAAGAATTGTAAACTCGTTTTATACTGGTTCGGCCAATCCTACCTACATCCAGTCCTCAAGCCTCCAACTTGAGATTTCTATTATTCTTGTAACTCTTAAAAGACTTGAATCCTCCAACACCTTGAAACACATTTTCCTTGTGTTAAGATTCAAAAACTAATAAGGAAAAAAAACCTTTCTCCTTTACATATCAAATGATTAGGTGGGTATTACATAATGACTCTCTTTGAAGAGTAGATATTACACTTTGATGATCTTAATGAACTCTTAGATAATTATGCAAATTAACATAGCCAAGAAGTTTTGTAAATATGTTTTTCACAAATAGAGTTCGTAACCTTTCTCTGAAAAATTATAGGTATTTATAGACAATTATTTCTTAGGTTATCTTTTTATGAAGAGTTGTAACTCTTTATAATTTTTCAGAAAAGATACTCTAGTAATCGATTACAAGGCTTGGTAATTGATTACAACGATTTTTAAGTTCAAAATATTTAAAACATTGTAAAATAAAAAAATAAAATGAAATAAAATAAAATAACATAAAAGAAATACACAAATTATTTATATAATAGACCCATTACAAGATACCGAGTACAACATTAATTCTTCGTCTTTGGACATACAAATTAATTTGTAAGTGGTACTCTCAATGCAACGATCAAATATTGACAATTAATTCTATCAAATAATAGCCTTTCTTTGAACCGACTATTATTCACATGATTGTAACTTTATAATGATCACATATTTATCATCACAGGCATGTTATTATTTGGCCAAATTGTGTCTTCCTTTGGTATGAGCACAAATTGCATAATAATCTCATACTAACATCTATTGTAATTTTATCTATAACAGAGATTTCTTTGACAATATATTACATCAATTAATTTAATTAAAAATTACTAGACAATTAATTAATAAAGAGAGTCTATAATCTGCCAAAATTTACACTCAAATTTGATATAAAAAATTTTTTTTTTTGAGTTTGAACATAAATACATAAACATATAGCATCCACGAATTTCAAAATTATCAATTCAAATTTGAGCATAATATCAATGGTTGAGAGATATAAGAATCAGAATAAAAAAATGAAATAATTAAAAAAAAACCCTTTAATCAATCCCATTAATATAAATAAAATTTAAATTTTTAATCGATCCCAGTATCCATACAACTAATTAAACCAAATTGAAGCTATCATACGACTAATGCATTCAAATACACATACTGTATCCATGAAAAAAAATATAAAAAATAGAAAAAAACTATATTCGATATATGAATCAAATCATGTAAACAAAGCATAAATCAAAGATTGATTCATTCAATTTCTATCACAAAAAAATTGTAATAATACGCTTTAGAACCTCATAACCTAACAACAACGGCGACTCTAATAGGCATAAGTGCTATTTACCTTCCCCTCAAATCTTTTACTTTTAAGTCAACAAATCAGTGTAAAAAACATGGACTGCACCATCTAATGTGACCATATTATTGGAACAACTTTTTTGGTCTGATACACAACACTTTTTGCGTGGAGCTAGCTGGTTCACTAAGAATCCTTGTCTGGGAAGTCATTAGTGACCCATTTGGTTTTCATAATTGAACTGGATTAGATTTCAGGGATCCAGTTTAGATTTAGTTTTAAACATATGAACTAGTTTAGTATTTAATGTAGTCCTTGAGAAAGAATAAGTGTTAAGCATGAACCTGCACCAGTTAATCATAATAAATTTAATCTCTTTATATGTACAATATTATTTCTGTTTTTCATCATCATTATATAAAACTTTTAGATTGCTTGAAAACCTTATGTTTAATGTTTTTATCCAGTTTTTTTAATACAAAATAATATTTTATTGAATAGCATTAATTGTACAATATGATAAGATATGTTCACCTTAATTTATTATTAGCCAATCTAGTTGTTTTTCTTGATTTTAACTAAATATATCATCAATTAACATTTTCAGCTTTTCATTTTTATTAGAAACCTGTTCTTGATTTATGACTATGTAGGTTGTTCCTTTCAGTGCTAGAAAGACTATTGGTGGATCACCTGAAGGCATTGCTCCATTAAGTGAGACTACTATTAAGAAGGTGACCCAAAAGGTATGTCTAAATTATACGTGTCTTTGTCATCTATTTGTTAATGATTAAATTTCCCTAGTCCAAACCTGAAAAAAAAATTCTGATATGAAGAGTTATGGATGTTAATATTAATTAATTTTATGAAATCTATTGGGTTTTATTTTTGAACATATATGTTTTTTTTGTTTTTAATTTTTAACTATAAATCAATGAATAACATGATAGATCAAAAAGTTATGATCGAAAATGGATGTTAGTTATATGCTTTGTCCTAAAATGATTCCTAAGATATTCTATTAGACTTCTTTACAGTCTAGTAGAGTGCTTAAATGCCTAGTTCATAGTGGATTTTTAGTAGAACCCAATAATTACTTGAGTGTTTATGGTTCACCACTCAATTTTTTCAATTCTCATATCCACAATCAACAATGCTAGGTAGTTTAGTTACAAACTTAACTCCCTCTTTAATTGTCGATCTACAAAAATTTCTTTATTGATTAAGTGAATGAAAACAAAGAATTCCCTGAATCCATAGCCTTAATTCTATATCACCAAATGACAGACTCTTCTCAACTCCTCTCCCCTTAAAAATTCCACTTATTACTAATATAACTAATAGACCTATCAAATAATTGTGGCCATAACAGGCACAAGTCTGTAAACCCCTTTTCTACAGTGTTGAGCAAATTGTATTTTAGGGATTGATCTTAACATATTAAATAAATGTTAGATGTGGCATATTAACTATATCCTGCATTTGTGATGTAGAATGCATCGTAGTTGGATGAATTCTGAAAGAATCACCAATGAGTATCAAAATGGGGCTGAACAAGTTTTGGAATTTGCTCAACGAAATCAAGCAAATTTGAATGGGAAGTTTTATTGTCCTTGTGTTAACTATTTAAATGGGAGGCGACGTACAATTGATGAAATATGGGATCATCTTTTCTGTGATGGGTTTCTAACGAGTTATACAACATGGATATGGCATGGTGAACACAAAGAGATACAAACAATTTCTCAAACTCAGCACGGTGATGAAGTAATGCATGATCAAATAGAGGACATGATTCATGATGTGGGACAAGAGTCTTTTCAGCAAGCACATTCACATGTCTATGATGATTTAAAAAGTGACTTAGAGACACCTTTGTTTCCTGACTGTATAACCTTCACGCGATTATTAGCGGTGTTAAGATTGATGAATTTAAAGGCAAGAAATGGTTGGAGTGATAAAAGTTTCATAGAGTTCCTTCAGTTGTTGAAGCAAATGCTTCTAAAAGACAACACTTTGTCAGACTGTCACTCTGAGGCGAAGAAGGTTTTGTGTCCCATGGGTTTACAATACAAGAAAATACATGCATGTCCTAATGATTGTATATTGTACAGGAAAGAGTTTGAAACAGTGCACAAGTGTCCCCGCTGTGGGGTATCACAATATAAAGTAAAGGATGGTGGTGGTAATAATGATGAAGATATAGCAGATAAGGGGCCTCCAGCAAAGATGTTATGGTATCTTCCAATCATTTCAAGGTTCAAGCAATTATTTGCTAATGCAATGAACCTTACATGGCATGGAAACAAGAGAAATTGTGATGGCTTGCTTCACCACCCGGCTGATTCTCCACAATCGAAAAAAAATTGATGCTTTGTTTCCAGATTTTGGTAGTGAGGCAAGAAACCTAAGGCTTGGACTTGCTACAGATGGAATGAATCCTTTTGGTGACTTAAGCACCAACCACAGTTCATGGTCTGTCCTCCTTTCAGTTTACAATAAAAAATATGTGATATTATGTATGATGATTTCCGACCCAAAATAGTCAGGAAATGACATAGATGTTTACCTAAGTCCATTGATTGAGGACTTGAAAATGTTGTGGCAAGAAGGGGTTGACGTGTTTGATGGGTATCGACAACAAACTTTCAAGTTGCGTGCAATGATATTTTGTACTATTAATTATTTTCTAGCATATGGGAACTTGAGCGAGTATAGTGTTAAAGGACATCACGCATGTCCTATATGTGAACAACAAACAAGCTACCTCCAACTGAAGAATGGAAAGAAAAATGTTTACACTAGGCATCGAAAATTTCACAGACCTTATCACTCATATCGGAGATTGAAAAAAGATTTCAATGGATGTCAAGAACATGAAATTGCACCAACACCCTTAACTGGTAAATAGGTTTATGATTTGGTGAAGAACATAAATGTTATCTTTGGAAAAACTCAAAAGAAGTCAACTGAGAAAAACTTGTGGAAGAAGAGATCAATATTTTTTAATCTTCCTTATTGGTACCATCTAGATGTTAGACATTGTATAGATGTTATGCATGTCGAGAAAAATGTAGGTGATAGTGTAAATGATAGGATAAAGAACTCCCAGAAGCAAATTTACTTGGCTCCTTACATTGATCAGTAAGTGCATGTTTCTTATTTCATTTAATTTATGTAATTTATATATATATTGTTTAACTAATTTTGGCTCAATGTAGAAATCATTGGTAGCTGTTAGTTCTTTGTCCTGAGTAATGTTGCTGTATGGTTTTGTTCTTTGCATCATAAGCCCACTATACATGTCAAACATTTAGTTAAAAGGTAAACTTTAATTTGTAATACGTTGTTTTTACTTTTATGCTCTTTATTATAAAATTTTAATTATGTAACTTACGTTCATTTTATTTTCTTTAGTGTTATGGTTGTGTATAATGTCATGAGTGGTATATCTACTGCACTATCAAAGAACTTAGAATGGATTTACCCCATGGTAAGTAAGTGGTTTGTAATTAAAGTCAATGTGCCTAACAAATTCTTTTATTACCTTAATTAAACAAAACTATTTATACTACTTTATTTGGTGTTCATTTTAGAGTTATAAACAACAAGGACATTATGAATGTGGATACTATGTCATGAATTGGATGTCAGAAATAATTGAAGGGGGAGTAACAAATGGTTGGAGTGAGGTACATTTAAAAATATTGTTAATTTCTTTTAATGCTTTTTATGATGTAACTAATATATGATGTATATATGTTGCAGCTTTTTGAAGATGCTACACCATTGGGGGAAACCAAATTGGAAGACATTCGGATTCATTGGGGAAATTTGTTTTTAGAAAAATTTAGAAATAGATCATGTTCAAAAGTCTAGTATTACATGTAAAATTTAGAAATAGGTGAATGTGGCTTCAACATTAGGCTGCCCAGTGCATGTCTAATGTATTGTGACCTAATTTTTTTGAGCTTCTCTTCTCCTTATAAGAAAAAACTCTTCTTTATAGATACTAGATTGGCTTCTCTTTGTTTCCAAGTATATTGCTTCTTTAGTATTATATATATTATATATTATATAATGATAATGATGTAATTGAGCCATTTCTATAATGATAACGATCCCAGATTGGCCTCTCTTGGTTTCTCTTACATTGGATAATTGAATCAGTTTTTGCAGGTTATTTATAATTGAATCAGTTTTATTTTTAAAATTAATTTGGTTAAAAAAATACAATTCTACAGCGGTTCTACGTAAAAACTGACTTAGATGTATTTATACATCTAAGTCGATTTTCACAAAACTGTCTTACATGTGCACATACATCTAAGTCGGTTTTTATCAAAATTGACTTAGATGTATATGTGCACATCTAAGACGTTTTTTATTCAAAACTGACTTAGATGTATAAATATATCTAAGTCAGTTTTTACGTAACCGACGTAGATATGTTCATTCATCTACGTCGCCCTTATCTAAGTCAGTTTTAGAACTGATGTAAATATGACAAAATAACTGTAACGACCCGCCATAGTCTCTACACTTAGTGGAATCAGGGACCAAAATAGGTTTTTAGCCAATAAAATTTCTAACAATCTTCCACTTGGGCTTCATATTCATTTAAATATTTATATCACAAAATTCTTTAGGCGCACAACTGTAAGCTATTTACTTTTAGACTCCCTTTAAACAATCTGGGTCATCTCATACAACAACAGGGAACCACTGTAGCTTTCATCATTATCTAATGTGACTAAACCACAATGATCACCACAATTGTATGCACTCAATGACATAGATCAAATATGGATAAGTGGCATGGAAATTACATGCAACGTGATCTCAGTCATGTCGACTTCCAACTAGTCCAAACTTTATTCTTTATAGCAATCCATTCAAAATGCATCTGGGTCATCTCATACAACAACAGGGAACCACTGTAGCTTTCATCATTATCTAATGTGACTAAACCACAATGATCACCACAATTGTATGCACTCAATGACATAGATCAAATATGGATAAGTGGCATGGAAATTACATGCAACGTGATCTCAGTCATGTCGACTTCCAACTAGTCCAAACTTTATTCTTTATAGCAATCCATTCAAAATGCAACATATATATGTTGCACAAAAACAAGCACAAAATAAAATTATGAACATCAACTTTATTTTTGTAGAAAATCCAAATAATACAAATATTTGAAAAAATTAAAAATAAAGAAAACATAAAACATAAATAAGACTCCAACTAAACTAGGGTACTATAAGGAATTACACTCATATGAGCAGTGTGCTCATGAAAGACTTTAGGCACCAAACCCTTAGTAAGTGGATCAGCTAGCATAAAATTAGTCTCTATATGTTCTATAGAAATTTTCTTATTCTGAACTCTTTCCTTACAACCAAAAACTTTATATGAATGAATTTTGATGGTTGTACTCGTATTGTTATTGGAATAAAGAACTGCAGAGTTATTATCACAATAGATTTTCAATGGCCTTTCAATGCCATCAACCACACGTAAATTAGTGATAAAATTTCGCAGCTATATCCCATGGTTAGATAACTCCTTCAACCAACATAAAGATGTATCCAGATGTGGAGCGTTTCCTGTCTTGACATCTAGCAAAGAGTCTGAGTACCCAACGATCTCTAAACTGTTAGACTTCTGATAAGTGAACATATATCCTTTTGTTCTCTTTAAATAGCGCATTACATGCTTTACTGCCTTCCGTTGCTGTATCCCAAGATTACTTAAGTATCTTCCTGAAACTCCCACTACAAATGCAATATCAGGACGAGTATAAACTTGAGTGTACATTAGACTTCCCACAGCTGAAGCATAGGAAACCTTTTGCATCTCATTTCTTTCAAGGTCATTATTAGGGCACTATTTGAGGTTAAATTTGTCTCCCTTGGCTATAGGGGTATCTCCTGGTTTATTATCTTTCATGCTAAATCTATCTAAAACTTTATCGATATACCTCTCTTGTGATAACCTTATGATACCATGAGAATGATCTCTTAGTATCTTAATACCTAATACAAAAGAGGCTTCACCAAGATCTTTTATTTCAAAGTTCTTTGTCAAAAATCTCTTGGTTTCAAACAATAATGCTATATCGCTGCTAGCAAGCAATATATCATCGACATATAACACCAAGAATATATATTTACTCCCACTAAACTTATGATGAACACAATCATCAACTATATTTGCCTCAAAACTGTATGAGGTAATAACTTGATGGAACTTGTGATACCATTGACGGGAAGCTTGTTTGAGACCATAAATGGATTTCTTTAGTTTGAATACCATAGACTTTGAGTCACCAGACACAAAATTTTCTAGTTGCATCATATAAATTGTTTCTTCAATGTCACCATTTAGAAATGCAGTTTTAACATCCATTTGATGGAGCTCTAAATCATAATGAGCTACGAGTTCCATTATTATTCTAAAAGAATCCTTTGAAGAAACCCGAGAAAATGTTTCTCTATAATCAATGCCTTCCTTTTGAGTAAAACCTTTAGCAACTAAACGAACCTTATATCTCTCGATATTACCTTTTTAATCCCTCTTGGTTTTAAATATCCATTTACAACCAATAGGTTTCACACCTTCAGGTAATTCAACGAAACAAGCACAAAATAAAATTATGAACATCAACTTTATTTTTGTAGAAAATCCAAATAATACAAATATTTGAAAAAATTAAAAATAAAGAAAACATAAAACATAAATAAGACTCCAACTAAACTAGGGTACTATAAGGAATTAACCACGTTACAATAACCAACTTAGAATACAATCCTTCTAGTAGTTTTTTTTTGGAAGGCAACAATTTTATTAAATAAAGTCAATTGTGCACAAGAAGTTCCAATTGAAATAAGTACACTAATATCATTAAATCCATGTTTCTCATTAAACAAGAAAACTGTAATGTCAAAGAATAACGAGAGTCTCACTCTATGACAGATTATAAAACCATAGCAAATACATAGATCCACTCACAATAAATTGCAGTATTGTAACAAACACATATTCTACCTTGAACTTGAACTGTTCTCCTTCACTACAAGAAACGTTACTTTTAGTGACATATAAAAAGTGTCACTATAGATAAAAATTATGTAGGTATAAACTTATTTGACATATACCCACACACAATTTTTGTGTTGATTTTGAATGAGATTTAACAACATATATTGTGTGTCACTATAACCTATAGCTACACTTTATAGCAATTGTAGGGATAAATTTACAAACATATACCAACATGTATTGTGTGTCACTATAACTTATACACATATTTTTAGGAATAAATTTATTAACATATACCAACATATATTGTGTGTCTCTATATCTTATACCTACATTTTTTAGGAATACATTTATTAACCTATGCCAACATATATTGTGTGTCACTATAGCTTATACCTATTTAATTAAATTTCATTAGTAATGTCACAAATTCAATAAATATCTTGTAAATATCTATTTAATTAGCATGTAAAAAAATATTGTCATCCATACATAAAAATTTAAAAGAAATAAAATCTTTCATCCATTCATACCAATTTAATACCACAATACCATGATATCAAGAAATACTATACTCTTTCGTTCATCTTATCTTATAAATAACATTGGAGAATATTTATTTTTTAGTGTACTATATTAAATAATTGTGCATATTTTCAATTTGTTTTTAAATTTAAATTCTTTAAATTGATTGCCTATTATTATTATTTTTAATAATTTTAAACATATTCATCTTTAATATACATGCTTTACATTTTACCTTTTGAATATATATTTCTTGCAATCTATATTTTCTTTTAAATAATTTTTCTCTGAAATTGTATTTTTGAATTTTACCCAATTTTTTTCTTGTAATGCACTGATATATTGAATACTAACATTTATCTCTTGATTGAGCTTGCACCATTGACAACAACTATCCAATTTCTAGACTTAACATGATTAGAAATTTTATTTAGCATGAGTAGAGTCTCCCTTAAGTATAACCGATATAAATTTTAAAATACATCAAACTTGTAATGCATTGATATATTGAATACTAACATTTATCTCTTGATTGAGCTTGCACCATTGACAACAGCTATCCAATTTCTAGACTTGACATGATTAGAAATTTTATTTAGCATGAGTAGAGTCTCCCTTAAGTATAACCGATATAAATTTTAAAATACATCAAAGAACATTTGAAAAGATAAAAAAAAAAAAGATAAAATCCTCGTGGTGCGCTAGTTTTACTTTGTTTGTTTCAGGTGTAGGTGGATATATAATAATAATAGGGAGACAAGAAAGTGGGAATTGATCCCTGCCATGGAAATTAAGAAAAAGCAACCATTAGTGGCTAGGCTAGCTGTTACGAATCTTATCTTGATGGTTTCTTCAATTACAATTGGTTCCCACAAAGGATCACACTTCAGAACTAGATATTTATGTATTTCATTTTTCAGATATCCTTGCTTTTTTCATCTTTCCCTTCCACACTATATATAAAAGACATCAAAACAATCTTGTGCATATCTTGTATTGCACCACCCCACAATATTCTAAGTCTATGCTTAACCCCCTACAGTATCTATGGACAAAAACAACAACAATTCAAACTATTCTATATGCAGGAAAATCCGTCATGCACTTACAAGCAATCCTGCAATCCAAGCCTAGAATTGGAAATATTAACAATCTGCATATGAAAAAAAGAAATTATAAGATGATTTAATGACAAATAAAAAATATATAAAAAAGTCTAGAATTGGAAAACAAGATCTTATTAAAGCTCACCCCATACATAACAATTATAAATGATGTTAATGAGAAAGACAAATTTTAACTAGTATAAAAGAATATAGACCAATTTACAACATCATATATGTTTGTTAGTTAACATCCACTCTAGAAACAGATTCAGGTATTTAAATGTGAAAGCAATGTGTACTAACTACCTTTGTTCTTTGGTTCATTTTCTACAACACGAATGGGTAAAAGCAAAGAAATCAATTTGTTAATGTTCTGTTTCCATTGCTAAAATGGTGGGTGTGAGAAGGAAAAGTATGAAAAAAAAACTACAGAATTTTGTAGCTGTAGTTCAAAATAGATACCTGTACTCCATTTAGCATGAAAATAATTGCATTGCTCAAGATAAGTAATAATAATGCCCATATTTGCATTATGGGTTTAAGCTATCTTAAATTTTTTATTTTCTCAACTTGAAACATATATTGATTAGAAGCTAACATTAATATCAATCTTTTATATCCCAAAAAGAGAACAATGTCAATCCATGCTCATAACATATTATTTATAATGTTAGCTCAATGAATAGTAAAGGATCTTTATTTACCTCAGGGTAATATCCTACCCATTATTGATGCGCATAAGCATGTATAAATCCTAGTATTTATAAAGAACCTGCAGTCATAAATAATAAAAATGCACTTAAAATTACAAAAAATAATTATATGATTATGTTTCTCAACTCAAATTTCTTACGATTATCGATATCACCTAACACCCACCACTTGTAGTTCACTAAATGCTATTATTATAATCGTTTCTGTTACTTGCAGCATCAGGTATCTAAACATAAAAAAGAAATATATGTAAAGTAATATTTTTGTTAAATATGATCACAATTGACATATGTCAGTTGTAAGAGTTAATACCTCTTGATCTACAGCTTCTATAATATCATTAATCTCTTGAACTCCTGAAAATCGTGCTTGAAGAAAAGAAACAAGATTTCCAAGTACCTTCTCTAATTTTTGAATTCTAAGTTCTGCAGTAGAACTTTGAGCTGCAGTATTTGAATTTTTAGCAAGTGGAAGTTTGCCAAGACAACGTACATGTCCTCTTTTTTCAAGCCCTTTCACTTTTGAATAGATGTCATTTTTCCAATTTGTATAATCAGGAGCAGTTTGAGATCCTCCTAAGCTTTCTACCTCCACCATATGCTTCTTTAATTCGTCCTACATCAAAACCCATTTTAATTAAAATAACCCAAACTATCAATCTTGTATGACACCAGATGCTTTTGTAACCTTTTCTACGGAAGTAACAGAACATAAAAAAGATAATAAATGAGCATTAGCCTCATTAATATTTATCAAAAGAAATTTTAAAGAGTAACCATAATAGCAACCGTGGAAATCCTATGCAATGTGGATGCATGCAACATATTTTGATATACCAGAAGCATATATAATATATCCGTGAAGGTGTGTCTATGCAAGTATGGATGCTAATAAATAATATAGAATCACAGGGCATGCGGGTCAATCAATTGTTCTGAATCAAATAGATAACATATCCTGTTGCATCCTATATCTTTAGTTTTGTCATCTGCTACGGTCATTAAATATCTTCTCTTCTTTGTGCATGACCGAAGTGATTTTGTTCTGAACATGTAAATTGGTTCTAAGCTTTGCTAATTTCTTTCTTTCTCTATCAAACATTAGCCAGGATTATAGAAGAGAGTTTTGTTAGGCAGCTGGCAAACTTAACCTAGTTATTCTTCTTTTCTTTGGTTCAACTTTGTCAATATGCTTGTCATAGGTTGTTACAAAAATGTGGTATTTGATACTTCCCCAAGGCATCAACTGTTCCGTTTAGCCTACCTTTGTTGGATAAGGATTCATTGTTATTTGTTGGAATGGTAGTTTGGATGCTTATAACTACTTGTAATACAGCATAGTAGGAAGTACACTGGACAGTGGACACTAATCTCATTATCTTTCTAGTAGCGCATGGATGGATGACATTATCTATCATAAAATTCATTGTTATTATGTGAATCTGGCTTTACAGTGTACAGAAACCAGAGGATACTGGTGCAGAATTTTTAGTGTATTTGGGGGAAAATGGAATATTAAGTTGAGTTCACAGAAAACTTTCATGCCATATTTTTCTTTATTGGTTTTTTTAAGAGGTAAAGATGGAAAGGTTCTTTCATGGCATATTAAGTATATATATTTAATTTTTTACTGCTTAACATCCATTATCTTAAGTTTATACAGAAACAGATTTCAATCTTTCTCTGGACTAGCACATAAGGATAAATATAAATATGAATTCTTACAATCACATGGACTGCCTTTTCATTCACAATGCTCCCATCTTTTCGAGTCCGAGTATCAATATAAATTTCAGCTCGTGAGGGTTGCACTCCATTCTCCTTTTTTTTTTCTAATGTAAGTAATGAAATATCAATAATCATATAAGTATAAGTAACATAATAAAAAAAAATTATTATTCAAAGAAAAAAAATTACCTCATGAATTAACCTTGGGATATTTTTGGTACCCATGCAATGTAGATCCTCATATTTTGAGCGACTTCTTTTATTCATGATACTTATGTCCTATAACCATGTTAAAGAAAAATCAAATATAAAAATATTGCTAAATAAATTCTATATTAGACAATATGTTAATCATATTATATATATACTCACTTGTCCTTTCTTAGAACACCAATGATGTACTAAATCACGATACTAAGAAGGATCAACCCTTTTGTCTGGGATGTTGGCAGCCATTTCTTCCTTAGTCTTACTTGCATCATATGCCTTTGATTTCAAATCATGCTTGAATTGCCTCCACTTATTACTCATGTTATCCTTTAGTATTCTCTTGGTTTGCTCAGACAGTTCAGGAACAAATTGGAACTTACTCTATCATAAAAGTCAATAATAAACAAGTCAACCATTTCAAAAGATGAAATTAATTACAACTTATGAAATTCTATATAATACCTATATTAGTTCAACCATGTCAGTTATATTAGATTCAGGCATGTCTTTCCAACTAAGATAATTGAATCTTATTATTTGATTAACACGCACAGGTTAGGTTTCCCTTTTTATTCTTATTTATTATTTACAAGGAAGGCATATTATCTATATAAAGTGAAAAATAGAATGCAAAGGTGATTGGGAAATTCAACAAATATCATTCTCATTGATTTGTTTGTTTAGAGAACATTCTTTGTACAAATCTTTCAGTGCACTTTGACGATGTTGTAAAGAATAAAAAGGGAAACCTAACCTGTGCGTGTTAATCAAATAATAAGATCACTGGTAATCAAGTGCAAACTCGATACATCAAATTAGAAGCACTTAAAAACCAGTAATTGTGCAAGAAGACTGGGGGGCATAACACGCCCAAATTGACGATTCAAACACTGAGAGTTCCCCATGCGAAAATGACAACTGTTGGGATATAAGGAATAAGAATGAATGAATCCTTGCTTTTAGGGAATTACAACAAAACCCAATTGAAGAATAAAGACATTGCAGGACAAAACTCGCTAGGACGAAAACCCGTAAAGGGCGTCCTAGGCAAAAATTAGGATACAGGAAAAAGAATCAAAATCCCGATAGGATACGTCCTATGCAAAAGTTAGGGATACATAAAAAAAAACAACAATGTCTTCTTGAGTTGAAAATCGAAAGGCGATTTTTGGGTATTCCCTTCAAAAAGCAAGAATTCATAAAGGTTTCACTCCGAAGTCAAAACACTCACATTCAAGCAAGTGGGAATGTATTCCTAACGTAGTTCAACCAATCGTCAACCATGCCTCTCTAGGGGGCAACCTCAGTTAATCTCTCTGTGTACGAATCACGAACTCGGGGCATGCCCGGGCCTCCGAGCTTTGCTAAAAGGGCACGTGTAAATTGGAAATACTGTTTTAAATGTCATAACATTCTTTCATTTCTCTTCTCCCTCTAAATATTTACTCTAGGCCTCATCCATTAACCCTTAATAAACAAGATGTATTTGCGACAAAGATGTTACTCAATAATAGCATGGAAAGGATAACAAAGGAACAATCAGGAATTCAAACATGACTAGGGTTTAATAAAAATAAAGACATCCCATACCTCACGAGCGCTGCAAAGAATGAAGGCCCGGCAGGGAACCCACTAAGGGGGCTGCGCAAAAGTTAGGGCAAGATCTGCTAGGAAACCCACAAGCAAAATTGGGTAACCTAGGCAAAAGAAAAGATCAAAAGAAAAATGTCCGCTAGGAAACACATCTCAAGTGACCTAGGCAAAAGTTAGGACGTTAAAGCAGCAACCTGAGTTGAAAACTGAAAGGCAGCTCAGGGAGATCATCTAAACAAAACGCAACCCCAAGTCATCACTCCACTTTCCATGCAAAATTAACACACCAAAAGTGCACCCAGAACGGCCCGTTCCGGTTTCAGAACGGGCCGTTCTGGGTCCAGGTGTTTTCAAAAAAATTCTCTTCCACGTGGCATCCACGTATGCATCTACGTGGCGTCCACGTGGCCAAAAATTAACACCGTTAAAGCAATTTGGACGGAAAGTCCCACATTGAAACCAATTAATTAATTTGGCACTAAATTGAAACCAATTAATTAGTTTGAGACCAAATTGAGACCAAAAATTAATGAGGGACTAAATTGAAACAAAAAAAGATTATAAGGGACCAAAATAGGTTTTTAGCCAATAAAATTTCTAACAATCTTCCACTTGGGCTTCATATTCATTTAAATATTTATATCACAAAATTCTTTAGGCGCACAACTGTAAGCTATTTACTTTTAGACTCCCTTTAAACAATCTGGGTCATCTCATACAACAACAGGGAACCACTGTAGCTTTCATCATTATCTAATGTGACTAAACCACAATGATCACCACAATTGTATGCACTCAATGACATAGATCAAATATGGATAAGTGGCATGGAAATTACATGCAACGTGATCTCAGTCATGTCGACTTCCAACTAGTCCAAACTTTATTCTTTATAGCAATCCATTCAAAATGCAACATATATATGTTGCACAAAAACAAGCACAAAATAAAATTATGAACATCAACTTTATTTTTGTAGAAAATCCAAATAATACAAATATTTGAAAAAATTAAAAATAAAGAAAACATAAAACATAAATAAGACTCCAACTAAACTAGGGTACTATAAGGAATTACACTCATATGAGCAGTGTGCTCATGAAAGACTTTAGGCACCAAACCCTTAGTAAGTGGATCAGCTAGCATAAAATTAGTCTCTATATGTTCTATAGAAATTTTCTTATTCTGAACTCTTTCCTTACAACCAAAAACTTTATATGAATGAATTTTGATGGTTGTACTCGTATTGTTATTGGAATAAAGAACTGCAGAGTTATTATCACAATAGATTTTCAATGGCCTTTCAATGCCATCAACCACACGTAAATTAGTGATAAAATTTCGCAGCTATATCCCATGGTTAGATAACTCCTTCAACCAACATAAAGATGTATCCAGATGTGGAGCGTTTCCTGTCTTGACATCTAGCAAAGAGTCTGAGTACCCAACGATCTCTAAACTGTTAGACTTCTGATAAGTGAACATATATCCTTTTGTTCTCTTTAAATAGCGCATTACATGCTTTACTGCCTTCCGTTGCTGTATCCCAAGATTACTTAAGTATCTTCCTGAAACTCCCACTACAAATGCAATATCAGGACGAGTATAAACTTGAGTGTACATTAGACTTCCCACAGCTGAAGCATAGGAAACCTTTTGCATCTCATTTCTTTCAAGGTCATTATTAGGGCACTATTTGAGGTTAAATTTGTCTCCCTTGGCTATAGGGGTATCTCCTGGTTTATTATCTTTCATGCTAAATCTATCTAAAACTTTATCGATATACCTCTCTTGTGATAACCTTATGATACCATGAGAATGATCTCTTAGTATCTTAATACCTAATACAAAAGAGGCTTCACCAAGATCTTTTATTTCAAAGTTCTTTGTCAAAAATCTCTTGGTTTCAAACAATAATGCTATATCGCTGCTAGCAAGCAATATATCATCGACATATAACACCAAGAATATATATTTACTCCCACTAAACTTATGATGAACACAATCATCAACTATATTTGCCTCAAAACTGTATGAGGTAATAACTTGATGGAACTTGTGATACCATTGACGGGAAGCTTGTTTGAGACCATAAATGGATTTCTTTAGTTTGAATACCATAGACTTTGAGTCACCAGACACAAAATTTTCTAGTTGCATCATATAAATTGTTTCTTCAATGTCACCATTTAGAAATGCAGTTTTAACATCCATTTGATGGAGCTCTAAATCATAATGAGCTACGAGTTCCATTATTATTCTAAAAGAATCCTTTGAAGAAACCCGAGAAAATGTTTCTCTATAATCAATGCCTTCCTTTTGAGTAAAACCTTTAGCAACTAAACGAACCTTATATCTCTCGATATTACCTTTTTAATCCCTCTTGGTTTTAAATATCCATTTACAACTAATAGGTTTCACACCTTCAGGTAATTCAACGAGATCCCAAACATCATTATCTTGCATAGATTTTATCTCATCCTTCATGGCATCAATCCATTTTTGAGAGTTAGAACTGTGCATAGCTTGACAAAAGTTGATTAGATCATCCTCTGTTAAACCAATGCCATCCTCATGTTCTTGGAGAAACACAATGTGATCATCTAGAATTGTACTTCTCCTTTCTCTAGTGGATCTCCTTAATGGCACTTCTTGTCATGCATCAAAAGTTTTTACCCCAATTTCCGATAGCTCTTTCAATTCCTCAATAAGAGGTTGCATATAAACATCAATATTATTACCTAGACCTTTTAGACCAAGAATAAGTAATGTGAGAAAAAAAGAAGGTTGTTTCAAACACATCCATGGAGGCAAATTATAAGGAATCAATATGACAGGCTAAGTGCTATGAGGAATTGCCATAGTTTTGAAAGGATTAAAGCCATCTGAAGCCAAACCTAATCGAACATTTCGAGGGTTAGAAGAAAACTCAGGATATCGATTATCAAAATCCTTCCATGCCAAAGAGTCAGCGGGATGTCTCATAAGTCCATCCTTAGTTCGACCATACTCATGCCATGTCATAAAAGAAGCTATTTTGGATGACATAAAAAGTCTTTGTAGTCTAGGTTTGAGAGGAAACCAACGAAGAATCTTTGCAGGTATTTTTTTTTCTGGCTTCATCATCATTAGAGTTATTTTCCCATCTTGAAAAATTACACTTTGGGCATTTTTCATCGTTGGATAAATCATTCTTATACAATATACAATCATTAGGACATGCATGAATTTTTTCATAGCCTAAACCCAATCCTGAAATTATATTCTTTGTATCATAAAATGACTTAGGCTAAGTATTTTCTTCTGGTAAAGCATCATTTAACAACTCTAACAACATTGAAAAACTTTTATCGCTCCACCCATTCAGACATTTCAAATGATAGATATGTACAAGGAAAGAGAGCTTTGTGAATTTCTTACAACCAGGATAAAGGTCTTGCTCAACTTCTTTCAACAACTTATAAAACTTATATGAAGAAACTTCAAATTGTTGAACATTATTTTCATTTACTAATGGTTCAACATTCTCATCCTCCGTGTCTGTATCTATATTTTGGCCCTCATTAGTTGCATGCATTGCAAAAGCATCATGAATTAATGTATCAATGTCATGATCAAACCTCCCATCTTGATATGTACTCTCAGAAATAGAAGGGCCAATATTTTCACCATGAAAAATCCAATTAGTATATCCTTTTAGAAAACCACGATTGACTATGTGCTCATAAACATCCATTCGAGAGCGCCAATCACGATTAACACATTTGGTGCAAGGACATAAAATTTTTCCATCCTTAGATGATTTTTCAAATGCAAAATCAAGAAAATTTCAAAACCCCCCTAATATACTTCTCATTAACTTGAGATTGATCAGAAATCCAACTCTTATCCATCAAATATAATAAACTGAAAAATAGTATGAAAAAAATTATTGTTATAAAAATGAAAGGTAAGTCACAAACAATAAAAATCGAATCTAAACATAGTGGAGAAAATAATTGACTATTATCTATTTATCTGATCCTTGGAAGTGTTACAGGTTAATTTTTCTTAGCTTTACCAAATCAAACCATCAATCAATTTAGTCCCTGTATTTGAATTAACAAAACAAATCTAGACAACATGAAATATTTTTAAAATATACAAATCCAATACAACCTTAACAACTACATCTATCCCTAGGCTTAAACATGGTTAGGGAGTTAGGCAAGGCCAGTACTAGGCGCCTCTAAGGTGTAACAAAACGGGAATCATTTCACTCAAAGGACCAAGACTTACACACCTCAAATGGGCTTAAACAACCTTAACAACTACATCTGTCCAACATTTGGGTTTGAAAAAGGATGTATAATGCTACAACACTTCAAAAGGACAGGGTCTGGTTTCAAAGGATCAGAGCACGAGTCATTTCAGAACAAGATAGAAACATGTAAAACTTTTCAATAAACCTTGTTTTCCGAGTACCATGCACAACGAATATAAGTTGCAATAAAAATCAGTTGTGCTGCTTCAAACCAATCCATCACACATGAAAACAGGGTAAGGTGTGCATGATTCTCATCTTATGCATTTTCTTTCAGAAAGTTGGTTAAGGCAAAAGACTCAACATAATTGTTTAATGTTCATCATACTAACTTGACCCACCAATAAAGATTTTGGTTGGTTCTTTATACATCAATTCCGGTTTTGAAAATAATGCAGTGCTTAACATAAGAAATAGCAATAATTCTTTATAATAAGTTCATTCTTGACATTAACTTATATATACAAACTTGTAATTGGAGTTGGTTTACCCAAATCCTTAATTAAAATAAACCTACCATGAGGAATATGACATTGAATTAGCCTAAACCAGGGGGTGATGGTGGACATATGCTACTTGATGGAATATTTCCATCAGTTAAATAACATGTAAAATATTTTCCTTTCTGCTAGTTTCATTCCAGTGAATCCAATTTATCAGCGTGCTTATTTGTTTTTTATTTTACCATAATGTTTTTTGCTTGCTATGTGCCTCTAAACAATCGGATTTAACAACTTTATTTAATAAGTGAAACAAAGAAGTGATTATTGGCCCCAAATATATATATATAGAGAGAGAGACTATACCTCACCTATACGCTAGCAAACTTTTTTTTACAGTATCTAAACTTATAGAAATGCTCCTTCTCTGCAAATTGTTTGTTTTTTCCGTACAAACGTGCCAAGTTCAAGAGGGATGGCCAATAGTGGAGGGTTTCTGTGGGGAATAATTACAGTAATTACATTGAAAATTTTATAGCTTTTAAAGGAACTTTTCACAGTGAAGACAGCTATGGCGAGTGTTCCTATACCACCATTTTGGAGGAACAAAATAAATTTTGGTGGTTATGTTTTTATTTTTTATATAGTGTACAATAACTTAACTGGTTGTATTATGAACTTGTGTCTATAATCTTTCAGTGCTTCCATTTCAATGTCCTTTTATTTTTTCTTTCTCAATAACAGATATAGATTACAAGAGAGGACAAGGAATTATGATTTTGAACAACTAAATAAATAGAACACAACATCGGTATCCTACTTCTGAATTTTAGGCATTTCAGGCTGTCTTATTTGTTTATCTGAATAAAGTAATTCAGTTATTGAAATTCACAGAACCTTTAAAAAAAAGAATGCATGCCGAAACCTTAAAAACAAAAAAGAAAATAAACTAAAGTTATTCAAACACATGGCGAAATCTGCTACAGAGTTATCTTTTTGGATTCAAAAATAGAATGCTACCAAATTCAAATCTAACAACCAAAATGATAGTGATAAGGTTACAACTATAAACAAAAATTACCTGTAGACTATAACTTTTACTGTATCAACAGAAACGGCAGATTGACCTCGAAATTGGACAAATTTTGAAATGGTGAATCTATAAAACAATAAAAAAATACCTAAGAGAGATTTAGATTCGAATTGAAAATACCTAAGAGATTTATGAGATCGGTGAAGTGAGTGTTCCGTATTTAAAATCAACCATGAATAAAAAAGACGAATGAATAGAGATTTAGATTCGGATTGAAAATACCTAAGAGAGGTCCTATGAACTCATCTTCTAATAGTTTCGACGATTAACAAAGGGAGGAACTCCGCAGCTCCGTCACGCAACCTTGTTTTGAATTTTTGCTTCTTTCACTCTGCAGCTCCGTCACTCAATGCCCATCCTTTCCCGCAGCTCCGTCACGCAATGCCCATCCTTTCTTAAAAGTTTTTTCTTAAAACTCTCGTATCCTTTTGCTTCTTTCGCATTTTCGTTAAACAAAAATATTAATAATTAAAATATATTAATAAAGATATTTTTCAATCCATAATAAAATAAAATAATATATCAATAAAAATATTATCAAATGCCAAAATATTAATAATATATATTTTGTAAAATATTAGTAAAACAATGACAGATTTAATATATTAAAGTACGTATATTAATAACTGAGTTATAAAATAATAACAAAATATTAGAAAAATAGTTAGTCAAATTTAATAAAGTTTTGTTGTTTTTAAAAGTATTAATAATAATATAATAGTGACACAAAATTAAAAGAAGGTAAAATTATAATTATATAGTGACATATAAGAAAAAATATAGGTAAATATAATTTTAAATGACAGTAAAAGTTGTGTTTAAGGTTTAGTGACATATAAGAAAAAATATAGCTAAAAATAGCTTATAGTGACACTAAAAGTTGTGTCATTATAAAATATGTGTCACTATAGGGCATTTTTTTTTGTAGTGCTTCCTTTTTAATTTCACACTTTTGTTGTAAGCTTTCATCATCTTACTGAATTCGAATACAGGTTTGAATGTTGCTTACCCATTGGCTCAAGTTAAATTTTGTCCCCGTGTTTACCTTATATAACCACCACCAACAAAAAGAACATAACATTATGCATATCCCTATCATAATCGAATGATGAACCATTAAAGATGATGTTGTTTCTTGCGCTCCACACATTCCACAAGATTGAGCACCATATTTTCATCCAAGTTCCCACATCTAGCCCTTGCAACCTCAGTTTGGCATGTTGTATAAAATTTTGTTTGGGGTCTTGATGTAACACCATGTAAACTCCCACCCACCTATAACATGTGAGCCATATTGGGTAAATCTCACTACAATTGAAAAACACATGTGACAAACTTTCTTCTTCCTCTTCACAGAAAACACACTTATATTGGTCATTATCCAATTGTATTCCTCTTTTTCTCAGTGCAATTTTAACAGGTAACCCTTGTTGGAAAAGCCTCCATATGAAGTGTATAACTTTAGGCGGTATTGTTAACTTCCACAGTAACTTGTAGACTTCCTCTTCATTTCCACAACTTCTCTTATTATTTAGGATCCCATAAGCAGATTTTACAAAAAAACATCCCCACAGGGTCTTGTAGCCATGCCCATGTATCCATACCCTGTATTGGTGTTATACTCTCCACACTAGGGCAAAATGGGTATTTTACGTCTTTTATTTTTAGGTTTTTATGTCAGAAAAATGTCTGACGTAAATACGAGAGACATAAATCTACTTCAGGTTTAAAAGCCGACGTAATATTAAGTCGGTTGTTTTCGAGCCCCAACGTAAAAAAGTTGAAAAACCAAGACCAGAACGACTCGTTCTGCTTGCACTCGTTGTATGTTAATTGTGCATCTGGAACGGGTCGTTCTGGTTTGAGAACGGGACGTTCCAGAAGCAAAATTAACACATGACATATGCAAGCAAAACAGGCTGTTCTGGTTGGAGAACGGGCCGTTCCATATGCAAAATTAACACATGACATACGTATGTTTTCATTTAAAAAATATACCTACGGAATAACCATAAATCCTCCACAACAACACACACAATCAATGTTTAAGTTCAAAAATATCCTCCAATCCAATCTATTTGCACTAACCTTGAATCCCAACACCTTTGAGTACCCTTAAACGCACCAAAACTTCAATACAATTGGATAAAATGGTCTGCAATGATGAATGGACGTCGCCACCACCGTCGCCGCCATTCAACGTCACCGGAAACACCCAAGATGCGTAGAAACTCGTCGTCGGAGGTCGCCAGAACGTTCTGCAAATAACACCCTAGAGTGCGCGCGAAGAAATCAATGAGGGGAAGGGGGTATAGAGGGCCGATGTAGATTTTAAATTTTACTTCGGACCTAGTGGTGTCTGACGTAAAAAACTTGGTTTAAATTTCAAAAATGCCACTGTATTTTTTTTACGTCAAATTTTTTGTTTTCCAACAACAAAACAGTGACGTAAATAACAGATTTTGTACTAGTGCCAACTCCCTTTTAAGCTCCTCCATTGTATTTACCTGCCACTCAAACCATTCTCATCTCCACTTATATCCTCATTTCCAAGCGCCATTCTCCCAAGCTCCCATATCTGTCACCAATGAGTTCTTCTGTAATAAGTTAGAGTACATTCTTGAATACCTTTCTTGGACACCTTCTAGTAATAAATAACTTAATAATCCTTATATTTTCAAATCAAATGTCAATGACTCTTTCTTTATAGTAGTAAAAAGGTAATTAAAATAAATGAATCCTCAAATACTTTTGAAAAACTACGTATAGCTTTAATTTTTTTCAATGCACCAACATCTTGGTAAGAATCATCCTTGTTGAACTAAAAAATAAATCTACAAAATAAAAATATCGTTTAATAAAATTATAAATATATTTTTTTCATAGGTACTACATTCTTAATTTAAAAAATAATTACATAAATAAAAATCTTCATAAATTTATTTTTCATAATTATTTCATTGATTAAATTATTAATAATTTACACAGTTAATTAAATGAAATTTTGGACTTACATATTGTTGAAACGATCTATTCAATAGAGAATTTTGTGTTCAATTTTGTTATGTGTGAAAATCTTTGAAACTAATAGTAGTTATAATATCATTAGGATAACTAATCTCTAACCTAATTAATAGATTGAGATACTCGGAGAAAGGAAAAACATTTTTAATTAGAAAAATCATTAAAAATACAGTAAGGTTAAGTTCCATCATTATGCACCATTTCAAGATCGACCCAATACATTCTTAAGCTTAACGCAAATTTTAATCTTAAAGAAATAGTTTTTAAAAATTAAAAATAATATTTTTGACAAAAAAAAATATTTTAAGAAACGAGCTTTAATTAAAAGAATAATTATATTTATATAGTTTTTAGAGATAGACCTTTTAGAATATTTTTTAAATTATAAATGAGCCTAAAAAAATGAATTTAAATAGAAACTTGAAGAAAAAAATATAAATATTAATATAAAATATTTCTTTTTAAGAAACTAAGTAAAATGTTTTTTCGTGTCATAGTTGAATTGGACCTTCACTATTAAAAAAATGTCATTTTCTTGCAAATTTTCCTGCAAAACAGTCTTCGCAGAAATTTTTTGCGATTTTTCTTGTAAAAAAATATTCGCAGAAATTTTTTGCGAATTTTCCTGCAAAAAAATATTCGCAGAATTTTTTTGCGAATTTTTTTGTGAAAAATAATTTACAGATATTTCTTACAAATTTAGCTACAATTTTAATAATCATAGAAATTTTTTTCCATGGTAAAAATTTACAGAAAATATTGTAAGAATTTTATTTTATTTCTTGCAGATTTTCTTGTAAAAATAAATTCGCAAGTAATGTTTACTAAATGGTAAAAAAAATTTGCAGGTAACTTTTCCTGCGGATTTTCCTACAAATTTTAATCCCCAGGAAAAATAAAAAAAAATATTTAAATTTATAAGTTTAATATTTTAAAAAAATTTCAAGTCCCACATCGATTGAAAATAAAGCAATTAAAGAGTATATAAGTTGGGACAACACTTACCTTACAAGTTGATTTATATGGTTGAGTTTTTGGCTTATAATCTACAATCTTAGAATTTAAAAGATTATGTATCACATGTTGGAGGCATGGAAACAAATGCTTCGGATGAATTCATTGTGAGCATTTGAAAGTTAAAAAATTATTGATAGAATTTATAGTAAATTCTTTAATTTTTTTCGTAAAAAATATTCTTGCAAAATTTCTTGCGAAAAAATTCTTAGGAAACTTTCCTGCGAATTTTTTTTTTCGCTGGAAAATTTCCTGCGAATTTTAAAATTCGCAAAAAAATATTATTCACGAATGTATTACCTGTAGATAAAATTTCGCAGGAAAATTTGCAAGAACAACGTTTCCTGCAAATTTTTATGAAAAATTTACAAGAAAAATCGCATGTAATAAGAGAAATTCTAGTAGTGCTTGTACCATTTTTAATGAATGCATTAAAAATACACGGTTGAGTAAGGAATAAGTATCTACTAATTAATTAATTAATTATTAGTTTTCAATTATTTGTGAAACATAGGAGTACATTAAGCAAGTAAAAGTTGACACATGGGTTTCTGGTTGTAGATAGATAAAAAAATAAAAAAATAAATAAAACAGAGTCAGAAAATTGAATGAAATTTCGTGGTAATAACAAAATTAAAAGTTAAAATACCAATGTGGGAAGATATGATAATAAAGACGGGCTTAAAGTTAGTGTTTTTGAATTTATATTATAAATAGAGAGATTCAGATTCACATCGTACCAAATAATCTAATATCTATATTAATGTTTTAGAATTTATATTATTAATAATTTCATACATATATTGTACCAAATAATCTAATATCTTTCAAATTGTAGAGATCTTTACATGATCTGCCATGCTCAATAATTTCCATCAGAAAAAATATTTTATAGTCATGCGTGTTTCTCTTATAACCACGTAGACCAATGTGCTTGGTCTTACGAGCTATAACCATATAATTCAATACCAAACCTGATATCAATCTCAATGCTTATAGTGATGTCTATATATCAATTACTAGATTGCAAATCAATAATTTTTGACAAAAAATTACTTTGTTAGCCACGTGCATCCACTTTTCAATACTCTAACCATATAATTTACATATGTGACAAATAACATGATACTATTGCCAGATTGCAGATCAATAATTTTCTCTTAAAAATCATTTTATTGAACATCCATTTTCCTCTTTTAGCCATGCTTCCATGTACTTCGCTTCTAACCATATAATCAACATATGTGTCGACTTATAACCCCATATTTATTTTTCATTGTAGAGGATTTTATA